TTTTTGCAATACACTAACTGTACTCAGATGATGCCTACAAGGTCGAGTATTTGGTACCTAAGCAAATTATGAACTTATGAAAACTGATTCGAACATCACTGCTGCCGGCTTTCATGCCCCTTTACATGCTTTTACCGTTGATATTTTAAATTTGAGAGAGATTGGTTGGCTGCTCAAAAGCTTGGGTTAGTGGTACCTGTTCATGCTAGCTTTTTTCTTCAATTGAAGCTTCACAAATTATTTTGCTCCCCATTCAGACCCATGGAGACCACAGAGACCGGTTTATGAATCCAATAAAACGCTCGAAGGCATCAACGCAGCACTTGATCAATAATTTGAAATCTTCCTACCCCCCCCCCTCTGAAACCCCCAATTTCTTTTACCGGGAAATACTACGATTACGGGATTTATCATATATACATACATCTCAAAACATCCCTACTCGAATCGGTCACTTTAAAAAGACGGTGAAGAACGAAGTAAGGTAATGCGCACTCTTACGATTAAAGCGATATGCTGGCATAACGACCCATCGATCAAATAATTCAAGAAAAAACTCATCCAAGGTAGTGGCCGATATAAAGTATTGTCGAGTAAATAATCAATAAGCTTGCAAGTTTCTAGAAAAGTGGTTGAATTGTGGCAGCAGGAGGCCAGCATCAAAGAAAGACAGTCCGCAGCGGGGTATCGATAACACAATAACCAGGGATTTGCACTGGCCAATCGATGACCCAAGTCTCCCATAGGTTCAAAGTTCAGAGGTCCTGGAATGGCTGCACTGTGTTCATCATGGCAGTTTTTTGCCCAGCCCCTTCCACTTTCGTGTCGAATATCCAATGGGAATCCCTAGTAAACGCCCAAATACAAGAAACCCTTTTTCCTATAGAACAATTTTTGGTGTTGTTAGAGGTTTGTAAATATTCAGAAGTAGATCCGTATCCTGCACAAGGGAGAGTAAATTGAGGGATGTACTGCGCAGAGGTTACCAAATCCTTCGAGCTGCGCCATGCACGTAACTCAAGCTACAATCGCAGACCGCAGACCATTTGCTATCGCTACTTGCTCACAAAAAAATGTCTCGAACGGCACAATGAAGAAGAAAAGTAGCAACTAATGAAGCATTTCAGAAAAACGACATTTACTTTTGCTACGAAAAATGGTCGGCATCAATTAGATGGTTCTGGCGCTTATCCAACAGCTTTACAATAATTCTTAGGAGTCGAATACACGGCGTTTTCAAACCAGCACATCAATGGAAAGTTGCCCTCTCCAGAAATTTTTTAAGTAGAACGGAAAGTTCCTTATTCGGCTTTATTTTTTTGCATTCAAAAATTCAATATGCACAACGAGCTATGCTGAAGCGAAGACGAGAAAGTAAACCGGACTGGCAGAAGTGAGGGCTCAGATACAACATACATACACTGGGAAAGACGAGAAAAAATCGAAAAAATCACTATTAAAACGCATCAGAAAAACATTTTCCACTGCAGCATCAGTTATTAGCGGAGCGACTGAATCTTAAAGAGAAAAAAAAATGAAAAGGACTAGAGCAGTGAAAATCAACTCAGAAAAAACGAAAAAAAGTACTCGTACGAATGTAATCAACGAATGGAATAGATTGAAAAGAAATCTCAGATGAGGTTGAGCAGCGGGACGAAATGGCAACGTTAGCACGGAATCTCAACTGGCGACAAGGTGAACATCGACTACAAAGCGTGATAATTTCGTATCAAATCGAAGAAGTTCATACAGACTTCCTCGAATGCTTGATGATTGTTCAAATAACAGGCATGACCGGCGTTAGGGATTTTATGAAGCCGAACGTTCGGCAGAACTCGTAGGTTCGCTGCCGCTGTAGGTCCCAGGGAGGTGTCGTGGTCTCCTGAAACATCGAGGAGTCATGGATTCAAATCTGAAGTATATGCAGGGACAAACATCAAAAACATGATCAAGCTCCGCCCACCATGGGCGGATCTCCGCAAGCTTATGGGTTCAGTGGATAATGCGATTTCCTGCTGATTCAAAGCTGTTTTAGGATTCGAACTCACCCCATAAGACGAGAATCGGAGTACGGTACAGCGATGGCTGAGTGATCTCGTGGGTGTTAGAAGGTGCAATGCCAACAACGCAAACAAAAATGTCTTGGGTGAGAAGGGGTAGAACGTACTGAGCTGCCATGGAGGCTGTTACCACCATCACCTTGAAAAAGTTATAAAACTTCATTATATGTTTATCACAACACAGAAGATATTTAGAAGAGTGAAAAAGGGAATAAATTGATAAAAATCTTTCAGCTATTCAAAGCTTAGAGTTCTTCATTTCTAGAGAATGATTTGCTCAGTTAGCCTATACTCCGAATGAACCCGAAATGCTAACCTGTTTAACGCCGAGCACGCTCAGAAATGCCAGTAAAAATTGGGGCTTGTCGTGTACACTTATAGCAGGACCTCGTGTCTGAAAGGACTAGAATGGTTAATGTTTCAAAGATGGATTTAAATCTGAAGCATATGCAGGCACAAACCGCCCACCATGGGCGGAACTCCGCTCCTGGGTTCAGTGGATAATGTGATAATGTTACATATGTATAAAGAACATTTATCGATAAAGGAAAGAGCTTGTGGCCTCAATCAACCCGTTACTGAACGCGCTCCGTGTTTTACTTCCACTCAGAAACGCAGTAGCGTTTGAATACGTACACAGCTCATACAATGACTTTCGAAAGACAGCCGATGTACAAGACAGCACTTTTATCCTATCAGCTGTGTCAGGTACCGATTAAACGACCCGTATGGATAGAATGGTTGGCTGGCCTGATCAAGCATCGACTCTGGATTCAGTTCCCGGATCATGTACGTTGGATCTAATCTTTACAACAAGCTAAGTCTTCGTTTTTTTTTGTGAAGGAAGTCGGGAAACATGGGTCGGTTCCGCTTCCAAACCTTTGCAGACCGCCTCGCCACACCGTGTGCCACCCCCTCCAACCTACCTGAACTTCCTTTTGCATACCGCATTCATCGTAAGGACTGCTTTTGATAAGCTTTTATAGGTTCAAAACATACCTGACCAGATCCTGGCAAATCTGGTGCTATACAATGGTAACCGAGAGCGGCAAAGGTGCTTAGAGACCTGAAATATGTTCTCATGAAACTTCATGCATATTCGATGATGCGACTACATGAAATCATGAAATTTCAATGAAGTGCTGAGAAAAAATGACGAGATCCCAAGAAGGAAACTGCGTTAGTAAGCCTAGAAACATCGAGGAAAAGAAATGTCGGTCTTGAAAGATGGATAGCTTTGTAGAATTTCTTCTTTGAGTTTGGCCCAAAAATTCTTTGCTTAGCCCATATTGCAAAGGGAAATTTTAAGAGGACATAATTTTGGTGGAAAAGGAAATAAGCTGTTGAGATCAAGTTAGAACTAGAATAAAAATGAATAAATTTATAGGAGGAAATGTCGAGGGATTGGAGGCTGTGGAACTCCGTGAGGCTTTCAAGTTCATGGCTTATTCTCAAGATAATGTAAACATCCCAAAAAGAGCTATTAACAGTCATGGTAACCAATGCCTTAGATAGCAGCTGAGCAAATAACCGTATGAGATGAGTCACCAGCTCTGATAACTTCAAGCTGTCTGAAATTGTGAAATCCTCACCCTCGATCGGTCCACGTCGATGACGAGTAGGATTGTCCATGAAGGAACACAACGGCCGCTTTGGTGTAATGACTGTCTGGAGGCAATGCTTCCCGGTAGAAAACACTGTGATCCTAAAAAGACACCTTCATACTCTAGCTCTACCACGTAAATGTTTGAAATTATTAGTTCGAAAATGGAGTTCTCTTCAAACACTTCGATTCGGCAACGAATTATCGAGTTTTTCAACATTTTTCGGATCACTTTGGCTGTTTTTCAATCGTATTTTTAATATTCGCCTGACTTGTTTACTCGGAACAGAAAAATGGGAGCTTTAGCTTTGCCACCACCTCCCATCTGCACCATTGTCCACCACTATCGGACTAGGTGATGATGGTCTTTGGTAGGAACATACCACCACCCAATCCGAATCCGATATCGCAGGGCCAAACTTATAGAGTCAAAGAACCGGCGTGACATGTAGTCCAAGCGGAGGTCTGATATACTCCCCTAAACTGACCCCATGATGAAAATCTTGCACTTTCCCAGAATACCTTCAAATATATTTGTCTTGAGTTGAACTTGTCGATCTTGATCTCTATTATGTCCAGTTACTGTCATGGCTAAGAAGAAACGGGTAGGCTATTTCCTCTAGATCCAAAATGGCTATCCCCTGGTCCCCTGGTCAACCCATATTCCGCCAATGTTCCAACTCACTGCGCCGCCGACATTTTGAATTGTAAACGTGAGTGAACTGAGCGGCGGAAATCCCCAGATAGCGGACCATTTGCATTTGAATAGCGCCGTACCTCTTCGCTCTAATGCATTTCTCTGCGAAGACTTCTCTGCCGCCACCGCCGCCACCGCTTTCCGTCGCTCGAAGGTCTTACGGTAAATATGCATATTATTAAGAGCTCACGAGACGAATTGAACCACTACGAGAAATCCGCCCACTCAAATTGGTGCGCACACAGGCTATGAGAAAGTCAAAATGTTCCCGAGTAGAGCTAGAATATGGAATTCTTAAGTATGAAATTCAATAGATAGGTTTGTCGGGGAAGGTGGAAAGTTGAAGACCCGGACCAGGAAAAAACCGTCTTGAAGTCCCACGGCTCCACTTACGTTTGCATTTTCAACCATTCCACCCCGTACTACATCTTGACCATTAGCAAGAGAAAAAGCAGATAGCTAATGCTTATAGTGCATCGCCAAATCTCTGGAGTGTGGGTGAATTACTCCCCCTGGGAACGATTTCTCATATGCAACGTTCAAATTGGCGATACTCGTCAATGCCCACTAGGGATATAGTGCGCATTCGATTTTCTACGAACAGCGAAGCCAAACAAGTAGTTTTTGGCAGCTAATTGAAAAATTTCAATAATCCATCTGTCAGAAGGGATGGAAAGAAACTTACACCGACATCTATCCGCCGTTCAGTCACCTCTACAAGATGAGCGAGTTTTCGTGCGTTTTCTGGTATTGGACGAGTTAGCACAGCCCTCTCAAGGAGAGACTGGGGTTCCACAAAGACCATCGTATTGATGTGGCTTTGGTCGTCTCTGAAATAACCGTTTATACAACTAATGGATTTTGGTGAACAATAGCAATATAGCGACAGGAGAGCATGACCTTCAAAACACTGACACAGAAGTAAATGCTGAAACCAAATCACCAAGAGTATCAACGAAGCAGGTTACGATTGTCGACCTCGCTGAGATCTGTCTCGGGTTCGAATCCCAGATTTAAACACGAGTTCATTTGAACGCAGGCTTAGTTTATCCAAAGATTCAGTACTTTTAGGTGGTCATTTCGAGGATTAATGCTTACACGCTACTTTAATACAAATTAGCTGGACTTTTAAGGATGGGAAGTGTGCTCGTCTCGGAAAGATTCGATGTATGGGTTGCGTAAGTGAGATTGGGTCCTTCAATACCCTCCCAGCGACTAACAAATAACATGGAATTTCGATGAAGAAAGCTGTACATGCTCTGCTTGGAGGTGCTACGTTTTCTGCATTTTGTAGAATCGAAAGTATGCCCGTTACCAAGGTTTGAACCTTGTCGTCCATCTACCTTAACCCTTTACAAACAAGCTCGATAAGTACAATGATACTATATGTTTAAGGATTTGAGAGATCAAGGGTTTGCTAAGAAGGCCTCACAAATTCTATTATCTTCAGACATTGCAAATTTCAGATTCGAAGATCTAGATCGAATCAATGAACAGAATCCTGAACTACTGGCCAACATCCATTAGCAGCTGTCATGGATACCTAATACGATAACTTGTACTATGAATACCGGTACCGGAATTCAAAACCTTATTTTGAAACTCATCGAATCCAAGGAAAAAACGACTGAAGAGAAGGAGAAATGGCTAGTTTTACCATCAAGTTTTGATGGAATTCAGTATAAAGGGTAAAATCTGGACGTAACCATGGTTTCAAATTGAAATTTGAGCTCTTGAAATAATCTGTGGACAAAAAAAGACTTTGATGAATGACGGAAAGGATGATCTTGGGGAGTGGGGGAAGCTTCTTACGTCATATGAACGGAAGAAAGACAACGTGCCCCAGATTTTTATCAATGCTTTGCGACGAGCGAATTCGTGAACCACACAACAAACACTGTAAGAGAATTCCTAGATTCAAGGGCATGGATGCAGATGGTGTAGTGGCAATGCAGTGGCAGTGCCATTCTAGGGTTGGAAAATTTCCATCAAATCAGAACATTTCAAAGGCACCCCATGTGGAGGCTAAGTGAAGGGCATACCCCAAAAGATCGACCAAAACCTAGCAATCTACCCGTTTCTCTTTTTAAACTTCGGAAGGAGGTAGTGAACGTTCAAAAGATCAAAAAAAGGACGAAAATTGGACTAAGGACAGATTTTCGTGTGAAAACATCAGTAAAACTCTGAATTCAGCAGTAAAGCAGCGGAAGTGTGGCAATAATTAATGAACCATTAAATTCGCTATCTGCAACTGGGCATAAAATTGAACGCCCATTCCAAAAATAGGTGTCCCTACTGACGAAGAAATGTGGGCAGCGGGCCAAGCTCTCAAAGAAGCCGAGCTTGGAGCCCTCTCCCCTCGAAATTTTCCATTCTTCTGGACACAAACTTAACTTCTGATGTAAAGTGAGAAAAAGTGGGGTCAGATGATGAATAAACCGGGTACGACAATGAAAACAAGTCAACGTCCTCCTACTATGAGATTGATTGCAGGTAACTGGAAGGTCAGCTGGCTGTGATAACCGCTACCTGGGAGACAGAAACGACTCCCTTATCAGTTGTAAAAATGCATGTTTTGCTGATTCCAGCTGACTAAAAACACCCAAGGACTTGGTCTTCAGAAACCAGTAAGTTCGGTAGGGTAGATGACGGTGGTGAGAAGGCTACCGTGGAGAGCAATGTGACCATCAAGAACGGACCAGAATCAAGAATATTTCAGCTAATCACGGGAAAACAACAGTTTGACAGAGTAAAAAACCTTCCACTATGTTGATTTTCATATATTTTCAAAGATTATATGAACTCTCTACTAATAATACACCATTTTCAATGCCACTCACAGCTTTAATAACCTCACCGGCAAAGTTACCAAAGGGTAACCGATTAAAATCAATAAAAGTCGATAGTGACAATAAAAACGTAAAAGCTAGCTTGAACCCTGCACTACAGAAGGTCCTTCATAGCTCAGCCCTGACAATTTCGAAATCACTTTCGAAATATGAGACTAGGTTCATAGTTGATGGCAGACCCAACGGTTAACCTCAAAGTGAGGAATAAGTTATAGTTCTGCCATTATATACAAGGCTTGGGGCTGGAAATGTTCTTAAACTAGCCCCTTTATGACAAATTATGACAATTATGAGTCATGTTTACCCTAGACGAGCCCGACATCTTTTGTGTAGGAAGAAAGGTGGGAAAATCTTTCAAGGTGAATAATTAATGTCATAAATGGTAAATAATGACAACTGCATGACGAGGCAGCCAAGAAGAGGACTCTGGGAATAGTTCCATGAGGAGAACCCTCTACACGGTACCCTGAATGTCTAATGTTTTAAGAGAAATCTCTTCATACAAACACTGAATGTCTAAAATTCACAGATCTTAAGAGTTCATCGGGCTATCGAAAAGCAAAATATTTATGTCAAGAAGTTAAGTCAAACTGAAACTGAGGTGGAAGCTCGCAAAGTTGCTATGCTTCAGATTTAGGTTGAACAAAGGCCACCTGAATGCCCATCTGAAGGTTTGTCTAGGCAATGAACGCTTATCAGAGTGATTCAAGCGATGATAAAACGACGATAAAATGGACCAAAAACCGAACGAACGGGAATTGGATCGGGAGCATGAATTTGCACGAAAAGTGGTCAAGGATAGGGGATTCATCCAGCTATTGACGATTTCCTTAACAGATCTCAAATTAACCCAGAAATTTCCCACTGAATCTTCGTACTGAACCAATTCTATAGTTGATATACGAAGGAACTCTTCAATGGGGTTATGTCTTTCTGGGAATGGCGAGAGGAACCAAAGCGGGGCGTAGTCGTAAAATGCAATTAAAACACCATCGGCGGTGATACTGTGCTGGTTTGACTATCGTACCAACCCTCTTGACGACCCTCTCGTACCTTTCAAATGATATTTCGCCTTCTTTTTACACCTCTACTCAGTCTGGTAGCTGAAATTATAGAGCACAGTACAGCACATAGAAAATTATGGCGCAGTAAACTGGAAACGAGTAGTCCGGCAGACAGTAACGCCACCATTTCAGTGCCCCTGTAAGCGGAGCCCATAAAAGGGCAATAGTGAGGGCATTTTTCCCACCTGAACAACCATTGAAATCGATAATTATTGAATGTTCGGGTCGAAAAAACAAACAACGAATGGTCCATGTGCTCTGTTGAAGTCAGCAGCAATCACATGGGACGAACGTGTTGCATCGTAAATGCCGAGATAAAACATCGCCATTTCGGTCATAAAAACGGGGGGACGAGTGGTGGAGACGTGCCGAGATCGCATGAGACATCGAGAGAGGTAGGTGAATCACCAGGGACGGCTGGGGTATGCAACCAAACGGCCACAATGTTCAGCCATTCCACCGATTTCTTATGACGACAATGACGTGAGAAACAGCCTCTGGTCTATGCAAAAAGACCCGGTCTCTTCCCGAAACAGCTCCTGGTCTCTTCAAAGAGAGCTCGGTCTTTCCTGAACGTTTGAACTACTTGCCGTCTTGGAGGAGAGGAATATGACCACTTGTAGGTATAGCAGTAAGTGGATGGAGTAAAGCATATGAAGTGAAGGGTAGTTGTTGAGTAGTTCACCAAAGGAAAATAGAATTTTCCAACTTTTTGAACCTCTAAAACTCCAAAGCAACAAAGTAAATGAGTAAACAAATAACCAAAAAGTGAATAACATAGGTGATGAGATTCAATATTCCCTGTGTGTCCCAACAAATTCCCGAGAAGACGTTAAGTACTGGGCTCCGAATGAGTCCCTGAGCTTGACATAGGATACCACCTGTCTATAGCACCAATTACTCGACCTTAGCACTACTGTTGCCACCGCTTGTTCACATCATACATTATCATGGCCAACTACATGCACCTCTTGCCGTGCTAACACGTCCGATCGGGGGCGGTGCTGTCAGGAAGGGACTTGCTGACAAGACTACGAGCCCGACATACAGCGCTTCCCACTGCTTTTGACCGCAGCAACATCGCTCTTACATTTAGTGGACAAAACCTCAACACCGCTGAAACTAACTGGTTTTCCTGCATTGTAGTTTTATGATGAGCAAACTTTTTAAATGTAATAAAAGTGGTTACAGTATCCTTCAACTCCCTGAACAAATACAATAAAAATGAAACCAATTCCAGTAAAGTGCAGACGTATTAGTGAAGTGTTGAGCTGACTAAAAAGTGCTCCATGCAACCGGTTATGGTTATGGACAAATCTTGAACATTTAAAAGAACTGCACCAGTGAAACTGTCTGGGAAGGGAAAAACAAGTCACTGTAACCCTTTTTAGGAAAATGCTAATTTGAAATTGAATTGAAAGTTTACAGCAACAGGTCGTTACCTAAAAGTCAAAAAATAGAATCAGTTAAACGAGAACTTATGACCAGACCGCCGTCTCATATTTTTCAGCCACGACGTACTCGAGACCTGTTTTCTCTTCGGGGATGAAGTATTCATTCTGCTCCAGAGCAGATTTGAATTAGGTTCCCAGAAATCTTAGCTTAGTTAACGCCCTGGGAATGTTTTAAAATACCAATATAGACCATAGATACCAATTTCAGATTTTTCCCCAATTTCTAGTTTTACTATTTCTGAATCTCAATTTTTTTTTGAAACTTCGGGGCCAATTTCAAATTTTTGGCATTACTCCATGCAGTGGCTGGACAGCCAGAAAGAAATAGCCAGAGGGGGAGATCACTTCAGGCGGAATAATACGCCTAAAGTAATAAATACAGGATTTTTCAAAGAAAATCCTTAGTCTGCCGCTTCGACCTTCATAGCTGATTTGATT